TAAAATTGATGTATAGGGGTATAAAGGGACGAAAAATACCTTTTTTTTAGTTGCCATGACAACCATGTTAAGGCAAATGGTGGCCACTGAGTAGCTGAAATTTTCATATTCTCTAATTTTTTCTGTAAGTGATTGATAGGCTAATTAGGGGATGTCAAACATCAATGTATAGATTTTATTGTCATGACAACTATACCAAGCAAATTGCGGCCTCTTACTGGTTGAAATTTGAGATCTTTGCATCTGAAGGGGCAAGGGGTGGGGGTGGTATTAGTTATCCTTAAGATAACAGTTCCAATTATTACTTAAGAGGAATTTTAAAATTTTATGTAATTAAGAGCAAAGACAAAGTAAAGATTAGGTAGAAAAAAAGGGAAATATCCAATATTTAAAGACAAAATAAAGATCAAACAATGGTGGGTGCCCAGATCCCTTTAGGATCACTTGTTTAAACCTTTCAACAACATTAAATTTTGTTTTGCTTTATCATACAAGCAAGACTTCTATTTCTTATTGGTGCATGTTGCATAGAAGAAAAGTATTTGTCTCCACAATGTTTAGAGCATGAATCGCTATCAAAGAGAAGCTGTGTCTACTACTTCATGGTGAAGATTATGGGCACTTTGACTATTTATAGTAAAGGATTTCAATATAACCATGTCTGTGCAGTATACCAGTACACTCATCTGTGGTAAAAATAGATCACAATAAGCTTTTAAAAGGGTTGACTTGTAGGAATGTGATGGATCAGCAATATGTCTCTAAAGAACAGAAATGTCTAGAACAGGAAATTCCAAAGTGTTTGTCGATCTCATACACAATGTACAGGCATGCATTTTACATGGACTTGGTCGTATATCATTACATACTGTTTTTGCATGTCTGAGTTGGCCATATTATATACAATGGTACCTGTTTTTTTTCTGTCTGGATGGATTAAATGATAGCAAGTCTTTCATATGGAAAATAAAGATAAAAAATGATTGACAAGATAAGGGCAATGACTTCTACATTTTTATGCATGTTGCCCTGCTTGTTACGCAATTTTTGTAAGTTAAGTTTACATACATGTTTTTATCAGTAAAAAGATAGCTACAGGTTACAAAATATTGATCTGTAGAATACCCGTGACTTGAAATGCCTAAATTTCCTATTGTTAGCGCTAAAGCATAACTTAAGCCTATAAGAAGCATTTATTGAGTTCCGGGGTTGGAAATGTGCAATTTTGTCATTTTTGAAGGATAATTTTCTGAGATTGGAATTTACATGGTGGTGATTATTATGACTAGTTCAGGCAGGCTTTTTTAAATAGTGTTCAACATATGGGTCTGTTGATATACCATTGGTATTTCACCTTGGGCAAATTAGATTGTTTACGGGTCATTAAACTCTAGAAAAACAAACCCATCCATCAAAAATTGTGCTTCCACTCACAAAAGTTTTCATTTCTAATCAAATCCAGTGTGTCATAAAATTATAAATATTTCCAATTAAAAATATGAACGTATTGTTCTAAACAGTTTTCAAAGATGATGTGATGAAATAAAGTGTTGAGTTTTTAGTATTTGTATAACAAATGATGAACTTTACCAAAGAATTTTTCCTGACAACTTGCACCAGGTGTATGGGGTGTTGTACAATAGTACAACTACATTATAGATATCATTGTTAAAAATGTCCTTAAGGTTATTTTATGATCTTATGAATATTAAAAACCACAGAGTAGGTTTGTACCTCACAAGGCTCTTACAGATAACTAAAGTCGGTGAGCTACTCATTGTTCCTTATAGAACACCTATCACCTGAAGCTATTTATAAAATCTTTCCTGTGTTTAAAAAATTCTGGAAAAACCAGGTCCTTATATGTCACATCAGTTTATCCATAAAATCCACTTAGATTCCAACTCTAATTTACATTTATCTATAGTTCCAGCAGTGTACAGCTGCCATCAAATCACATTTAAATCAGTGTAATTTATGTTATCAAATTGTTGACCAGGCTATCAGTAATACTTCGTTTGTAAGCAAGGGAGATTTGCAGATGACAAGGACCCCCTGACAACCAGGGATTTCTTTGTCCCAAGCCCTGGGAACTAGCAGGCCTTGACGGAGCTGTGGTTTCTATTTCCTGTTCCAAACCACAAATATGCTGTTTATACCAACTAAATATCAAACTTTAGCCAAATGTTCAAAACAACTTCAAGGTGAACTAGTTCTCTGAGAACTCACTGGGGGGTATTCTAAAAGCAAATTATCCCCCTAATTATAGTAACCCAAAATTCCAAATAACGGATTTAATTTAATAAGTTGTCTTCATAATACATTGATCCTTAGTCATTGGTGAAGGGACTTCTTGTCATGTGAATCATGATAATTATTAAGGTCATAGGATTTGGGGAAATATGAGAATATACCAGTAACTTATATTGTTTGTTCATGCAAAAGTAATTCATACTTTAAATTATATACCTGACATAAGTATTGGATTTCTGCTGAATGGGATTTCAACAATACAATTGATATTAGTAATGTCTTGTTACAAGGGTAAATGGGTAAATGGACATTGTGTTATACATAAAACTATCCAGGTGAAAATGCCAACAATTTTATACCCCATAAAGTTCAGTTCATTCAAGCTTGAAACTATAATGTAGTGTAAACTATTTTTGGATAATGGAAATGAATAAGCCGGTGCAAGACAGTTTATTGAACAACATGGCTAGTCAGTTTTTATTATCAGTTACAACATGATTGGCTGTACTTTAAAAGTTCACATGAAAGTGATACAGTTTGTTATGTAACTGACTATAAGGCACACTGTTGACTGACATATGCACTTTCTACTCAAAGAGGTTTTTTTTTTTTAATTCCTTTGTTTCTTTGTGATTTAAGATAACTTGTTTCTTTGTGCTTTTTCTTTATAAATATTACATTTCAGATTTCATTTTACACAACTCTTATTTTTAAAAAATGTATAGGATAGAATAGAGAGTATTGTTATGACCTCAGCTATTGTTGTGTAGCTCAGGTGTTTCTCCTGACCTCTGTCTCGGTTAAAATTCAAATTCTAGGAAACGTGATGGAAATTAAGGATATGCTTATACATATACATGTTGCCCCAGACATTGGCTATTTATTGTGTAAAACATTTGCATTTTATCAAATGATCTCCATGTTTTACACTGAATACACCCACATGATAATTTACACCAGTGACAACACAATTACAATACCTGTCAAAATGGTGATGTTGAAAACCAAATCTTTGCATATATTCATCGTTCAAAGGGATTACCAAGACAACTAAATTTACACCACCATTTTCTTAATTTAAGTTTATAACTTTATATTTGTTTCATGTTCTATGTATGTGATGTAATTTATGTAATATTTGTGTCTTGATAACCACCAAAAGCCTCTAAATAACATTAGGTAAACTAATGAATCCCTTATGATCTTATCTAATCAGTCAGTGAATGTGATCCCCAGGATTCTGAGATGTCAGATTACTGTGCCTACTGATAACATAGTATTGGACACACTGAATTAATGATCTATAAAAACAGCCTTGAAATATGGTGAAGATATAATTACGTAATAATGAAAAAAAAAATGTCGTATTGTCTTGATCTGATCTTTTATTATCAATAGTGAAATATGTTGTACTTTTTTCACAATGAAATAAAAGGTTTCTAGGAAAAGATATAAGTGATATTTTCAATGAGTGAAAAAGAAAAGATTATTTATTTTTGACCAATTAGATAATAGTACTTGTAACAAAGATATCAATTTCTCCCAACGTGCATCAGGGTACTTTTCAGAAACAACAACTCTGGTAGAGATCGTGAAATTTTAGCCATTTGATATGGAAGATAACTTCATTGTTCTGATCCAGCCCACTGTTGAACTATTAGAGTGTGTTAGACTGCAATGTATTGTAAGCACACTCAATAAAGCATATTCAATCTTTCATCAGTGAAAGGTGAGAAAAATGTTTTAAATATCAAATATTCCTTGTTTCTTGATGAATAATATTTATATTTCATTGCTTTGGGTAGTTTTCTTTTATTTTATTTTTTTATAAATATTTTGCAGTTTCCACTCTGCTCAATGAAATATATGGTATTTAATCAAGAAATAAAGTATATACAATGTATATACTTTCATCCCATTAATAACTTGAAAATGCCTCTTTATTTTCCATATAATTCTGTTTAGCCCACCATATCTGATGGTGGATGATGTTGGGCTATTCAAAACACCTTTCGTCCCTAGTTCATCCATAAACAATTCTCATTATTTCTTCAGAAAGATGAGATGGATCTTTCTCAAATTTCTAATGTACGTTCCACATGGTCCATACTTAGTTATGTCCTTATAATTTTGGGGCTGATCAGGAAAACAGAAAAAGTGAACTGATAGCTACCTTGGATGTTTACGATAAAGGTTTGTTGTATCCTAATTTTGGAGACATACAAAATGGATCTTTCTCAGGTATCGTATGTAGGTGTGCCTTGGTCCCATGTTGTACTGTTTGGTTTTGGGACTGATCAGAAAAACAAAATGGCTGACACCCATGGATTTGACAATTAAATATCATTATCATTATTTCTTTAGAGGAATTTTCAAATTTCTTACACCTAGGAGCAAGAACACAGGAAAGAATAGACAAGGCAGGAAAAATTCCACATTTTAGAAATAAAGGTGAAACTTTGGTGGGCTCAAAGTTCCTATGGAGATATCTTGTTTAACATAAGAATTTGATCCCAAATTTCTTCATTATGTAACAACATAGTACTTAACAATTCCATACAGTCATTATTACATTGGTTTGAGGCTATGTTGATTGTTTGTGTATTATTTATTTACTGTTGAGAGACATAAATATTTTTAAAATGTTGGAAATCATCTTTTTAAAAGGGATCTCTTCTTTGTATTAATGGCCATTAAAAGTCTTCAACTAGTATCCAGACATAAGTTGTCTATTTTTCTATTTTCAGGATGCTGTCGTTGTTGTAAAGAAGTTCATGGAACGTGACCCTACAGAGGTCAACTTTACTTTGATGGCCTTGTCCAAACAGAGTGATTGAGGTCATAACCTTGACCTCTCCCTTCGTTGTAACATTCCTAGAGGAATACTTTTTGTCATGATGTTGTCCAACATTAATATGATGCTTCCAGGATGTAAACTCAGTTGACCGCCAAATCTTATATATACGAGCACCATGTTTTGGGAGAAGCCATGTGCAATCACGTTATTTGTCATCTCTCTTTCACTGCCTTTGTGATCAAAGATCTACCAGTCTACAACAGATATAGCAGTCGTATCAGATGCCTTTGTATTTTACAGTTTTGTATGCTACATGTTGCTTGGTGAACTTACTGTGGCATTTCATACTAACAAACTATTACTTTAAATAATGTGCTTTTTTTCCAATGGAATGGAAAATAAGTTTGAAGGATTGGTTTAAACCTTAGAAATTTAAAACAGAGCAAGTCGTTTAATGTAGAAACAAAATGAATATAATACAAGAGACAGGGAAAGCGTAACAGTTTTACAGTGAAAATTGAGCAATGGTGTGAAATGAGCTATCATTATAGGTCAGAAATGGCGATATGCATTAAAGAAATCAGTATTGATGTTATAAGCAGGTAAAGCTATTCACTTAATGTCTTGGTTAAGAAATTATTTTTGTTATGACACCAGTGACTTTATAACAGTGATGACTCCATGATTGGGTCCAGTGGATGTTTTGGATGAGCTCTATTGTCAAGACGTGTGTAATTGTGTTTGTATATTATATACATGTATACTTCTATATTTGTATTGTTCTTTTACATGGATTGTATGCCTTGTCTCTGATTAAGTTGCAAAGCTTTCAACAAAAACAAAAAGATCCAAAGATGTTGGTGTCATCAATAAAATGAAAATATATTTAGGCGTTTGATTGTTTTTATGCAGCATCCAAAATTCAATTCTTGGAGGCCGTATTAAAACCTCCAATTTATATCTATAGACATAAATATATGTTCTTATTGTATAACAAGTTTATTTTGCCGTGTGCAAATTTCATCATTTGGTGTCAAAACTTTGAATGCCTAAATTTGACCATAACATATTTTTGCCATTAAGTACAGACACTTAAATAAGTTGTGTCTTATTTACCATGTAATCTTACGACAAAGATTAGACACTAGTTAAAAAACATTTATCCCAGTCTAATGGAAGGACCTTAAAACATTTCCAAATTCTACATTTACATACCTATTTATCCCTGGATTGCAATGTTCAAAATTAGAACTTTTCTATTCGTTAAATTAGGTTCTATATGACAGGTTAATGAGTTATACCTACACTTCTCACCTTCTCATCACAGGTACACTTTCATGAAGATGTTTTCTACAACCATTCAAAATATTTGTTATTATGAAAGTCTGAAATACTCCCATAATAAGGCAGATGGCCACTTTACACATTTAGTATGTGTTAATTTATACTATAGTTGAAATATAACCACAAAACTGTGAATTCTGTGAAAAGACATCTGCTGTTGCGAGTCAAATATGAAAACTTGCTTTAATAATGTGTCTCAAACTGATACTATTGACTATATATGTGTAAAAGGAAATGGCATCCCATCATCAATTAGGCATCCAGCATTTATCAACTTTTTATTGAAAATCCTTACTAGTCTTGATCAACTGAACTATTTTTCACCAAATTTCATCAGAAGCATCTTTTGGAGGAGTGCATGAAAGTTTGTATCAATATGGCAAATTGCAATTTTTTTTTAGGTCAGCAGACCCAAAGGGTCCTCTAAAGGGACTTACAACAAGACCATGTCATTTAAAGGGACTTACAACAAGACCATGTCCTTTAGAGGGACTTACAAGTAATGTCCTCTACAGAGACTTTGATCAAGGGGTTGACTTCCAGAGATACATATACAAATGCATGTGCTCAAAAGATACTACCAAAAAATTAAAAGCTTCCACTACATGGATGTACATCAAGAGAGTCCTCTATTTTTGATTTACAAAAAAAAGAGCGTCCTCTAGATGGACTTGCAAGACTGTTCTTTAGATGCACATATACTTAGAACTAGATCTATCCTTCAGAGGGACCTTCAAATAGAAGATGTCTTCTGGAAAGACAGCAATCTAGTGCCTTCCAGAGGGAATTGACTCAGATGAAGAAGACAGTGTCCTCAAAGAGGACTTGTAACAAGAGACTGTCTTCAAGAGAACTTTCAATGAGACTGACAACATAACCTCTAGCGGAACTTGCGACAGGAACAATAAGGTGTCGTCAGAAGGGACTTGAATAAGGAGACACCCTTTAAAGGAATTACAAGGTGATGCTTTTTACAAGAGGTGGTTCCTGTGTAGCCTGCAGTGTGTACTTTAGAGGACTGCAAGACGACGCTGTTCTCTCGATAGACTCTAGAGGACATATCTACAATAGGCGTTCTCTAGAGTAACAACAATATAATACTTAAAACATTTAGTGCATCACTGTAACAATGTGAAGTCGATATTTACAACAGCTTAGCGAAGAGTCGTAAACATGTCCACGTACTGGTCGTGTTACTTTCAAGGGCGACACAGCAACAAAATAGTTAATGTCGAGATTCGGGATCAGATAGGCATCATAAGTGTTTCAATAGATACAATAAGGAAGTATTTCAGTTAGTTCCTTATGTCTACTTACGAGTTGCAGACTCTAGGTTGGCAGGAAAGGCTACAAAGTCACTTTTTCACAAACTTGTCTATGTCCATGTCCGTCTTGAATGCAATATTTCAAAATCTGTGATTATTATGTTCTTCAAAACTTCAAAAAGTTTTTGCCCGAGAGCAGAAGACATTATTCAATAACTGACAAAATGAATATATGGCTAGTGTACATGAATTTACCTCAGATCACATGCTCTTATTATGGTTCCAAGAACCAGGAAAAGATAACTTCTGTTACCAACTGCTTGACTAAATGAATCAACTAAACTGAAATAGATATATAGAAATTTACTTTGCCACATCCGTCAATACTCGTTTTGTTTGTTTATCCCCTAGGCTATCTCATCTATCGTTCCATGATGTTGAGACCTAACAATTTGTGCAACAATGAGATCCAGTTGTCAAATTGTGTTAAAAAATCAGAAGAATATTGGATTGTAAAGGTATTCAAATAACCCAGTTATACATATGTATTTATTACACAATTGATAAAGTCGTCATTTTATAGTCCACAGATTGAGGGGGGGGGGTCAACCCTTTCACCTCAGGTGTATGTAGAACACATTACTGTGAGTTCCTTGTGTAGCCAGGAAGTGGAATGTTCCAATCCGATAGTCAGCCAATCCATGTAGGGACATTAATGTTAAGCTGATTTTTTCTTCCTCGTGGTCTTCTTGGAAGTGCAAGTGTTATAACTATTAAAAGGTCATTGACAAGTGGTATCAACTACCTCTTGAGGGTGCTTACGTATGTAAACAGTGTAGGCTGGGAATATTAGTCCGAACTAGTTTCTTCATCAATTACACATATTTACACTATACACAAGTTATGCATAACACAATGAAGATCGATGCACTGACATTGTTGATAAAACTTCCCTGTACTAATGTCTGGTGGGGGCTGTGTTATCGTAATAGTTGATGGAGCTAGACACTTACAATGTCTGGTGGGGGCTGTGTTATCGTAATAGTTGATGGTGCTAGGCATTAACAATGTCTGGTGGGGGCTGTGTTATCGTAATAGTTGATGGAGCTAGGCATTAACAATGTCTGGTGGGGGTTGTGTAATCGTAATAGTTGATGGAGCTAGGCATTAACAATGTCTGGTGGGGGCTCTGTTATTTTAATAGTTGATGGTGCTAGACATTAATAATGTCTGGTGGGGGTTGTGTTATCGTAATAATTGATGGTGCTAGACACTTACAATGTCTGGTGGGGGTTGTGTTATCGTAATAGTTGATTGTGCTAGACATTAACAATGTCTGGTGGGGGCTGTGTTATCGTAATAGTTGATGGTGCTAGACATTAACAATGTCTGGTTGGGGCTGTGTTATCATAATAGTTGATGGAGCTAGGCATTAACAATGTCTGGTTGAGGTTGTGTTATCGTAATAGTGGATGGATCTAGGCATTGCTGTGTGATCGTAATAGTTGATGGAGCTAGGCATTAACAATGTCTGGTCGGGTTGTGTTATCGTAACAGGTGATTGAACTAAACACTAACAATGTTTGGTCGGGTTGTGTTATCGTAACAGGTGAGTGAACTAAACACTTACAATGTTTGGTGGGGGTTGTGTTATCGTAACAGGTGATTGAACTAAACACTAACAATGTTTGGTCGGGTTGTGTTATCGTAACAGGTGAGTGAACTAAACACTTACAATGTTTGGTGGGGGTTGTGTTCTCGTAACAGGTGAGTGAACTAGACACTAACAATGTTTGGTTTGGGCTGTGTTCTCGTAACAGGTGAGTGAACTAGACACTAACAATGTTTGGTTTGGGCTGTGTTCTCGTAACAGGTGAGTGAACTAGACACTAACAATGTTTGGTTTGGGCTGTGTTCTCGTAACAGGTGAATGACCTAAAACTTACAAAGTTTATTTGGAGAGGATATCTTTTATCGTTTATATCACAACTAATGGCTAACCTTAAGCGAAGACAGTTGTCTGGCATGGAGTAAGTATGCCGTAACCCGAAGTAGGTAGACCTTACAGGTTTCGTATCGGAAGCAATGGTCAGTTCATTAATAGATGCTATAGCGACATGCGGCCATGTTGGAATCTGTTCCACATTGCTGTTGGTCGTTTTATGGTTTGTCAGTTTTAGATTCGGTTGGGGTAGATAGGATATATTTAAATATGTTTGGTCTTTGATTAATGACATATGTTTAAATTGCGGAATTTACAAGCACGATTGCAGTCCTAGTTTTGAATTTTGCTTAGCTTTTTACTATATTTTATTTACGGAAAACAATAGATATTAATTGTGGATATGATGTGGATCATGAAATGCAAAAACTGTACGAAACAATTGCAGTAGTTCTGTGCGCTGGAATGTATGCACATTTGTAATGATAATATGTGCTCCCGTTAACAGACATCCAGATCGAAATCCTGCGCCAGTAACTCGAACTATCAGATTAGTAGTGTTACATAACATTATAATTGTATTCGAACAATCATATTATATTCTTTGGACAGCGTTGTTACGTAAGTCATATTGTGTGATCTGAGAGTGTAAATAGCGTGCTGTATGTCCTTAAAACATATTACTCCAGAGATACAGTTCACTGAGACTCTTATTGACATGTTAACGGGCTGTAAAATGATTCCCGGCCTAGCCACAGACGTGGATAATTTCGATCAGGTTTTTATATATACCTGTCTCCAATTCAACAGCTGTGACGTCTGTTCTAAAACAGGTTAACCTTATAAGGTTATCATGAACAAAACTGTCTGTGGAACACTCGCATTTGACAAACCTGGACGAAACCTGTTTAATATGTGCAGGTAATAGTAACGGCGATGTAAACTTTTACAATATATAGTCGTTTTAAACTACTACACTGTCTTTTTTTCTAATTTTCATTTGAAAGTTTCAAAACTTTGTTCTTTTTCTTTGGTGCGTATTTCGAGTGATTTATTTAACCATTTTGCAGGCTATCAATGTCGCCTATAACGAATTGTCCAATCTATCCATTCTGGCTTGTTCATCGACTCAAGACTTTTATGAAAAGAGATAGACAGAAAGTCAAAATATCCAGAGAAACGGCTACAGTTAGCACGATGTATAGTTATGGTGGCCATAGAAATCAGAGAGGATTCGCCTCGGTTACATGTACTCATATCCCTCGTCCTATTCCGTCATCGACACTCATCTAAAAGTGAAATTATTTCCTAATTTCTGTGACGTTTTAAATTAG